AATAAAAAAAAATCACTGCCCATTCATGTGCACTAAAGGCTCAGAGAAGGCCTGCAGCAGGCCTCCAAGCCCTAGGTTTAACCCAGAAACTTAACCGCAGATAACCTACAGCAGCACTGGAGTGCTAGAACCTACACCGAGAAATGCGGGGCCGGATGCTCCCTTCAGGCTGTTCCGGTCTGGTGTAGAAAGAGGCAACCATGACTGCCCTCAGCCCCACATCAGTCCAAACCACTCTACCTTTATCCATTATAGCATTCAGCTGAAGAAAGAAAGGTTTCCATTTGCTAAGGCAGAAAACAAGTCTGAGAACCACAGGGACAGTAACGATGGCATAAGCCTTCCCGTTCTTCGTCCAACAGCAGAAGGACACATACAGAAGAGGACACATACAGAGCATGTAGAACCTCACTGCCACACGCCAAGCATCCTTCAACCTTAATGGCTATTTCTTTTCTTTTGCAGTACCAAGGATTGAACTCAGGACCTTGCACTTGTCAGGCAGGTGCTTAAGTGGCTGAGCTATCTCCCCAACCCCTTTAATGACTATTAATATCATTGTCCTTACTCTAAATGTTGGTAGTTACTGATGTCATCATTATTTCTGTAAAGGCTACTATAACCTCAAGCTCCTAACATAAAGCCTATCAACAACAAAATGCTTCTCCAAGAATTAGGTTCTCCTATAACAGCAGCCATTCCTTTTCTGACTCTTACTTTGAGCAGGCTCTATGCTAAGAATGCCATTTAATTTAATCCTTGGAGGAAATGGCCACAAGACAGGTACTATTACTACCCTCATCTCAAGGGGATTGAAACAAGGCTAGGGAAAGGCTCAGTAACAGTGGGAGGTCCTGATTGATTAGTGATATCTGCTTTAGATGCAGCAACAAGGTGCTCAATGAAAGAGACTGAATTGATTGGAAATGTCTGCAACAAGCACAGCATCAGGAGATCAGCACCAAAGAGAAGGCAGTCAGAATCAAAGCAAAACTCTAATTTAGTCCTCAGCAATCTCAAAGCCTGTATGCTGCTCTGTCTATAGACATCTCTTAAAACCACTAAGATCTTAGCTTCTTGGGGACTGAGAGGTATGCACTTTATTGTTTTAAAGCTTCCATGTTGCTAAGCATAGTACTAACCCATACAGCAGAAGCCAACAAATACAATTCTTCCTATAAGGAGGTAGACTTTGCACATCTTGTTGTGTGCCTGCTGAAATGTCAGCTCCATAAAGACAGAAAGTTTTGCCTGTTGAGTTCATTACCACTCAACAGGCAAAACTACCTACTCTATAGGTAGGTAGGGTAGGACAGTTGGCAAAATCAGTGCTGTCTAAGCAATCATTTGCCTTTGACCCCCTAACCACCACTTGCTGGATGGGGGCACTGGTAGTACCCATTTTACAGATGCAAAAGCTGTGGTTCAAGAAATTTAAATTCTCTCTCAGGCTCTCATAACCAGCAAGTGGCAAAGCCAAGACTTCAACCATTCCACACAATTCTAATTTCTGCACCCCTAACTAGAAAACCACCTTTCTAACTCCTGGGATAGACAGTTCGCCAAGCCCCACTCACCTGCAGATGGGAACAGCAGGCACCAGCTGCTTGGGCCAGGTTGGCGGCACCAGCAAGATGGACTCTGGGGCCGAGCTCCTCCTCTCCTCCTGCTCGCAGGGCCCCAAGAACTCCACGGTGGGATAGAGGTGACGAGGCAGGCCAGCTTTGGCCGGGGCAGCAGACACCGGCGACGGGTCTGGGCTGGTCTTCCACACCTTGGGGGGGATCCCACAGGGCGAGTCCGTGGCGAGGCTGTTCAAGGCATCCATGAGGACGGCAGAGCCAGCTGTGGGGGTGTACCCAGCCAGGGCGCTGTCTTCCCCGGGCGCCACGTGAGAAGAGGGCTGTGGCGAGGGGCTCCGGGAGCGCTGGGGTGAGGCTCCGGGGAGCGGGGCAACCAAGGCCTCTGCACACGAATGCCTCCGCTTGGCACCAGGTGATGAGGAGCGGGAGGCCGGACGGGGCACGGGCGAGTGGCGGCCCAGACAGCTGTCCTCGGCGAGACTGGTTCGAGGTGACATTATTGGCGAGGTTCTGGGGGAATAATGAGCAGGGATGTTTTGAAACTGGGGGCACAGGTCGTCTGGCCCGCCATTATTAGGCGAGACACAGGGCGAGGTGTAGGGGGAGAAGGTGTCGGAAATGAAGCTGGCAGAGGAGCCGCTGCTAGCGGGGCTCAAGCAAAGCGGCTCGCGGTAGCCATCGAAGCCAGGCACAGGCAAGGTGAACCTCGGGCTGGCGGCCGCCCCGGCCAGGGCCGGCTGCTCCAGCAGGAGGCTGGCGTCTCTCATGTGGAGGGGCACCCCTGCCTGCATCAGTTCGTGGGACGGAGTGATCTCGATCCGAGGGCTCAGGCCCGAGGCCCCTGCTGGCTTGGCCGGGCTCAGAAAGTTCTGGGGCCCTACCCTATCCGGCTCTCCAAACCGGCCGGGGGGCTCGCCAGAGAGACTGGCGAGGGGGCAGTATGGCTGGAGGCCACAGTCCGGGACATCATCGGGGTATGCGAGTCCGGAGGGTGGGTTGGCGACCTTACGTGCATTCGGTTCTTCTGGAAAGAGAAGGGGGGAAGGAGGGGTCTTTTAAGCCTCTAAAACAGAACTCCCGTGCACAGCAATCACAGGCTGGCGTTTGCTCTGCTACGGTTTATTTATTTATTTAATCTCCACCATGACAAACCCCAAACCAGTGCCTCAGGCTCTCTCTCCAAGGAGAGTGCGGCTGCTTCATTCCAAACTCCTTAAACATGGAGATCAGAGAGGAACAAGTGTGCCTGGGTGTGCTGGATCAGTGGGAGGCCGAGAGACCCTTGGCAGAACTCACTCATGTCACAGCCCAAGCCACGCAGTCCCACACGCCTGCAACTGAGAGGATACTTACCCTGTGGCGTCCTTTGCCACCTCTGGCCTCCCTCCTGACTGGAGTTATTCTATGTCCCTGCTGGTCACAACCCACTAAAGAATTCCCTACCCCAGCAGTCAAAACCCACCGTTTGAAAAGCACTAATCTCCTTCCTATCATTCTACATGTATGACGTGGCCACAGGACACAGCAGGGGGTTGGGCCTCTGGCAGCCCACAGAGCTTGCAACTGAACTCTACATGTTCACACTCCTGTGTAAGTAGCAGCTCAATTCAGAAGCGGGACCTGTGTCTCATCTGGGTCATTTTGTAGATGAGGCCCCAGGAGGGAAAGAGATTCACCAAGACATGGGATGAGCAGGCTTGGAAATCCTGGAACCCCCATCAGGCTCAAAAATCCCTGGAACCCCCCAAAGCAGGATCATGGCTGCAGGGTTCGCTAAACCATGAGCCTTAAGCCAGCAGAAGTGGAATTATCTAAGTTCTTAACTCTTGGCATCCACCCTAGGCTCCCGCTGCCACCTCTAAAAGAGCCCTCCCGCAACACACACAATCTTTAGGCCATTGACTAGTCTGTGTCAATCGCCTAAAGATGCTGCTGTCCCCAAACTCACACTGCCATTCGATTCCCAAGCCTGACTCCTCCTTGACAGACACCCCCATCTTGCCGGCTCCCGCGTGGCGCTGGGCACATGGGCCCCCTCCCCTCTGGAAACCCCTGCGCTGTTTGCAAGGGAGCAGCCCGTCCTCACCCTGCCCCACCTCTGCTTCCGGGCTCCCTGCCTCTGCCTTCTCCATGACAATGACATGGGTCAGCCTGGCTCCTCACTGACACGCTTCACATCCTGGCCATCAGCACACCCTGACTGCTCTACTGTCAACAGAGGAAAAGATCCGCACGTCATCATCCTGGGGCTCATAGCCCCACACCCTCCCATCTGAGGTCCCTGCATGTCCCCCATATTCCGCGCTCCATGTAGCACTTGTCAATCAGCCATTCTGGATGCCCTCCAACAAGGCTTCCCAGACCCTTTAGATGGGATCTGAAGCTATGAACACAGCCTCTCCCTGGCCCCAGGCTGCCCCACCTCCCCACCTCTCCATCCTCCCCAGCCGCTTCGATGTCATCGATAGTCTCCCAGCAGCTGCTGCCCGGAGTCCCTGTGCCTGCTCCCTTGCCCTGCAACACCTTCCACTGTTGCTTCATCTACTCAGCCAGCACCTCCTCAGCCTGACCCATCAGAAAGGGCATCTCCACCCACTTCCGGCCATCTCTCTCCATTGGCACATCAACGAGTTCCTATCTCATCAGCTATTGATCTGTTTAGGGAGCCCTCCTGCTAAACCAGGGACAGGCAAACTATATCCATGTGACCCACAGATTGGGTGTTTAAATAAAGTTTTATTAGAACACAGCCACACCCACACAATTACACGGGGCCTAGACCTGGCTTTTGCACTGCACCAGTAGAACTAGGCACTGTGATGGAGACTATGGGCCACAGAACCTAAACCATCTCCTGTCTGGACCTTCATGGGCGGCCGGCTGCTCCGCACTGGGCTCAGAGAGTCCCCCAGGGCTGCATTGCTATGCTTCTGCACTGTGTGCCAAGTACCTGCCTTCGGGCCCTGCAAGTGCAGGGCTCCTTCAAATCTGCTGAGTGCTGAGAGAGAAAACCAAGGCAGAGATCATGCCCAGGGCCTATTGGCCAGGAACAAGGCCTCTTCCTCAAGCTGCATCGTGGGCTCCTGCTTCAGGGCTCCCAGGTGGACCCTCGGGCCATCCTCAACCTCCTTGTGCCTCTTCTGGGCACTTGACACAGTCAACTTGGCTGTGCTGACCTCAGGGGGCTGGAAGGAGGCCCCTTCAGACTGAGAGCCCTCCAACAGTCTCCCACAGCTCTTAGGGTAAAGATGAAGGACCTCGACCATGCCAGCTTGGCCAAGGCTTGTGCCTACCAGTCTCACCTCTCCTCTCACCTCCCTGCCTCCCTCTCTCCCTGGATTCCTGTCACAATTGAAATTTTGCTAAAGTAGCGACCTCAGGACCTTTGTACTTGCTATTTCTCCTGCCTAAACAGCTCCTGCTACCCCCTTCTCTATATAACCACAAGCCCCTCGTGCCCATAAGTTTTTAGTACTCTCAGGGCTCCCTAGGTCTGTTTTCTGTGCCCCCCAAAATCCAATTAAGTACCTGGGGGGTATCTATTTATTGACGGCCTTGCCCTCAAACAATGAGTAGGTATCCCTAGCACCTGGCTCGGTCCTCCCCACAAATGGGCAAGAGCACACCTGGCACCAAAGGGGGCTTGTGAGAGAACACACGCGTTCACGTGGGCACACACCAGCAGATGGACGCGTGGGCTGCTCTGCTGGTCTCAGGCAAGTGACTTCCCCTCGCAAAGCAACCTGAGCAATCGGGGGACAACAGCGTGGCAGAAAGGAAACTCTGACTTCTGTTTTATGTAGAGAAAAGAAATTCTCCAAACATTTTTAAACTGTGCGGTGGAGGGGGATGGGTCAGACTCTATCTACAAGAATGAAACCCTGGTCTGTGAAGCAGGAAGTTGAGACCCGACGCCTGCTCTGCCTCTGCCTTGCTGTGACTCTGGAAAAGCCCCCACCCCCTCTGTGCCTCCACCTTCTCTTCTATAACCCAACGGTGAGAAGCCCATTCCATCTCCTCATTGCTTCTGGCTCTGATCTCTATCTGACGACATCCTGAGAATAACTGCCCTGCTAGCACCCAAAATTTCCAAGTAAAAACGCTGTCAGAAGATCTGAACGGCAGCCTATCAGAAAGGCCACCAGGAAAGCCAGCCCCTCCTCGAGGTTAAAGTACCAAAGCACACTCGCACTGGCTTTCATTAGCCCGCACAGCAGATTTTCTTCTCTATTTCTCTTTTCCTCTCCCCACGCCTATGAAGGTTTAACAGCACGCAGGGACTATGAAAGTAATTAATGATCATTGACTTCTTGGGCCTCTGGGGATCTGACAGCAAATTTCACAAATGGTGCATCATTAAAATATTTCTTTAAGTGGCTGAGATTCCTTGCCACTTCTGTGACAAGGGCCCTGAGAAGGGCCCTGCAGGCCAGGGCCTGCTGTCTACAGAAGTCAGGCGCGTCTCAAAGGCCCGGAATTTTCTCAGGAGGGATGCAAAACATCTTGGTTTTCTTTCCACTTTCGAGATCTCTGCTCTAGCCTGTCCCACTGGTAAACAGTATTTCTTCAATATTTCTATTTAAATTCTCTCACATATTAATTATTTTAATTTAAAAGGAACCTTTGAACCAGTGCCGCAAATGGAAAATCAGAGTCGCCTCCACAAACAGGAGGTAGGGTAAAAATATAATAAAAAGAAAAGCTAGTAAACTCAAGAACTCCAGTGGGAGGCCAAGCCTCTGGGCTCCAGCTGGCTCCCCCTCTTAAATTCTTCTTTTTGTTTGTTTTTTGTACAGGGTATTAAACCCCGGGCCTTAGTGCTGAGCCATATCGCTGGCCCTTTTCTATTTTTTTTATCTGGAGACAGGGTCTTGCTAAGTCACTAAGTTGCCCGTGCTGGCCTTGAACCAGTGACTCTCCTGCCACAGGCTCCTAGAGCGCTGGGATCACGGGCAGGCAGCACCACACCTGTCACTGGTCTTCTACGGAGGTTGAGCTACATGGATGTAGAGGGTAGAGTTTGCCAAGTTCTGTCCAATGGGAAACACCCTTGTTTTTGCCACAGTTTTCAAGGTAGCACATTTCTGTGACCTCTAAGTCTACCTGTGTTAACACTGGAGGGCAGGGAGGGACACAAAGTGGGGGGTGTTAAAGGCACAGCACACACCACTGAGACACCACTCCTGTTGACTACCTCTGAGAGAGCAGCGCTAACTAAGGAGGACAGCTGCCACCATGTGCCACGTGCTAGCAGCAGGCCCCCTGCCGGGAGAGACGCCAGCATCCAAAAGGGAGAAGAGGCTGGAAGCTGTTAAGGGGAACTTGGAGGTGGCTGCTCATAGTCCTCTGTGTCTCTTGCTTACAACTCGCTTCGACTTCCCTTTGCCTACCCATGCCCCCTCGTCCTGGAGGCCCCCCAACTCCCCAGGCTGCACCAGGCAGCTCTGCCCTGCCCCAGATCCTTCAGAGTCCTGTCTGGAGTCTGCCTCCCCTCCACACTGAGTACTTTTTGAGAGGCGACAGGGGGTCTCACGAGAAGCGTGTTAATTTGCACAGAGTTTGCCAGTTGGAACTTACAGCCCAGGGTTAGCACACCAGCCCTTCACCCAGGCATTCCCCAGCTCAGAACAACAGGCGTGCCGGGTGGAAGATACTCAGTGGGAGCTCAGGTGGGGTTCTGCAGTGGGGCCCTGGCCTTGACCCACTGCATCAGCCAGAACTGTCTCTAGGCATTGCCAGATGTCTCCTGCAAGGTGCACTGTCCCCAGCGGACAGCCACACCCCACATACCCAAGCTGGCTCCAAAGGCAGATTGCTACCATCAGCCCCAGAGGACAGGTAACCCACTGTACCACCCTTCCTGCCCTCAACCTTCAGAGCACTCCCCCAATATCTAGGCACCCATGAATATCTGGGGAGACCTCTGGCCACTCCCCAAAGCTGCCGGATAAGCTTGCTGGGGAAAACATAGGGGATCTTGAGTATCACAGAGAGTAGTACAGCACTGGAGACGCCAGGCTCCAC